GAGAGAGAGAGAGAGAGAGAGAGAGAGAGAGAGAGAGAGAGAGAGAGAGAGAGAGAGAGAGAGAGAGAGAGAGAGAGAGAGAGAGAGAGGAGTAAGAGAGGAGGGTCAAACAAAAGACAAGAGTAAGCTCGCAGTCACAGGGGCCCGCTCCACTACTCTTGAAAATTGCAAAAGCCAGAGCGAATCTTCCGTTAGAACATGGAAAGATACAACGCCATGATTTTTGTCTTTTGTGCATGTTGAGAGTAGCGAAACAATGCCCATAGATCGCAGCCTCTGCACATTTGTAATGAAACCAAATGTACAACAGATAATTTCTATGATATGGACAATGCTCACTTCCCCTCATGTTCGCCAGTGTGACCGTCTTCCCCCGAACTGGGGTGTAAAACCTTATAATGCGGATGCAGCAACAAAGCCAGCAAAGAAATCGAACAGGCCATAAGGAGGTGTGCTGCTTCAAATGATAGTCGTCCTACCCAGCAGCACAAGACAGCACCCAAGGAAAAGAAACACCGCCATGCAATAAACCTCTACCGTGCAGAACTTGAACCCGGCGCGTAGATAAAGCACTAGAATGCTACATTTTTAATTATTGCAGTTGGATCATCGAGTCCCCTGGAAAAAAAAAAAAAAAAAAAAAGTAGACACGTAGGTCTTGCCATTCGCAACACCGAACTTAGTACTCACTATTACTCGGTAAGCGACAAAACCGATGCTTATGCATTACGACCATCCTGCCCCTGCGTGAGGATGACAAGCATTAAAAGAAAAAACACAAAGAAAACGACGAAGAAGAAGAAAAAAGGACTTCTGAAGAATCTGAACTCATAAGGAATACAAATATGACCACTAGAATGCTGCAGGAATGTAGCGAAGGGATACCAAGGCCTGTCACCTGGTGCACACTAAGGACCAGGACCAGGACCAGGACCAGAACAGTGGGAAGGATATGGCTGCCAAAACACACAAACTTAGGCCGCCCTCCTCAAAGCACCTGGGAGAACAAATTACCCTCAAGGCATTGAGAACATGTCGCTTATACCTCTCTGCTACAGCTTGGCTTGCTACACAACTATCCCCTCCCCTTGCAACCGTAGGCATAAAAGGAAGACCTGCCATGAACGCACCCGGGAGAAGGAAAGACACCTCAAAAACCAGATAGTCTCTGAAAAAACAACCGTGCGGCACCGGCACGTGCACCGCGCCACACCTGAACCCAAGTTTCCTCTGCACTTGGTCCAGAGAATGCGCCAGGAACGACAGAGACAGGAACCCAATTCCGTAATCAACGAACAGCAGAGGGCCAATACCACGCCGGTGCAGCAGAGAAGCCAGCTGCACACTGTGACCAGCACAACCACTTGCAGCTTCCCTTCTAAAACAGTCTACTCTAAAAAAAACTTCACACCGCAAATGCACATTCCTGCTGTAGGTAAACACAACGACGCTAAAAACACTCCCCACATTTTTACCATAACCTCACCATTTTTTTTTTTTTCTTTCTTTTTTCTTTTTTTTTAATAACCTCACCATTCTCAATACCCAGAGTGCAAATTTATATTCACTACTAGAAAAAAAAAAAATGCAAACTCCAGAACCTAACTTTCATTACGCAACATTACGTATGGCACATTCACCATAAAACACACCAAGCTTTAAAGTTTTAAACTTTAAACACAGGAAGTGTGTCCATTAACCACCTGCGGCGTTCCTCCATAAATACTGCACTCCGCAAAACTGCACATTCACCACAGGTAAACAACACCGGGAAAAAAACTCCACATTTACCATAAACCGCACCATTCTCAAAACCCCAGAGTGCAAATGCATATTCGCTAGTAGTAGTATAAACTCCACTTTACCTACATCCACCGTAAAGTTGCACGTAAACTACAGTCAAATCGCATGCAAACTACAAGTAAAAGTTTCATGTAAACCACAGTAAAAGTTTAATGTAAACCACAGTAAAAGTTTCATGCTAACCACAGTAAAAGTTTCATGTAAACTACAGTGAAGTTGCATAGTAGTATAAACTCCACTTTACCTACATCCACTGTAAATTTGCACGTAAACTNTAACCACAGTAAAAGTTTCATGTAAACTACAGTGAAGTTGCATAGTAGTATAAACTCCACTTTACCTACATCCACTGTAAATTTGCACGTAAACTACAGTAAAATTGCATGCAAACTACAAGTTTACTGTAAACCACAGTAAAAGTTCAATCTAAACCACAGTAAAAGTTTCATGTTAACCACAGTAAAAGTTTCATGTAAACTACAGTGAAGTTGCAT